AAAAACCTCAACCTGGGAATGGGAAAGAATTTCCCCGTGGAGAAAAACCCCCGAAAGGCCAAGTTCCCCCACGCTTCGAAGAACGTAAAAAAAAGCCCGCGCGCGCGCCCCAAGAATGTGTTTCGTAACCCACAAAACGGGGCCTTCCCCGGAAGGGGCTGGGGGCCCATTGGGAAAAGCTCCCGGGGGTGCGGCCCCAGGGAATCAAAAAAATTTTTAACCAGGTTGGGGGCCAAATTTGGGAAAAGGGCGAAAACCCCCGGGGCCCGCGGAATTTTTGCCAAAATTTTGGGGGAAAGAACGGGACCCCTTTCCCCAAAAAGAAGGGCCCAAAGGGCCCTCCCCTGGTTTTCTTCCGGGGGGGGGGGGATTGTTTAAAAAAAAAAAACGCAAGGCCTCGCGGGGAGGGGCCCAGGGATTGGGGCATTTCCCTAAAAACAAAGGAAGGCACCGGCCCGCCCGCCCCCTTCCCCCCCCCCCCCCCCGCGCGCCCCGCCCCCCCCCCCGCGCGCGCCCTCTGGCACCCCTGTGCATGAGCCGCGCTCCTCGGGCAGGTGACCTCAAAGCGGCTCCAGAACGACCTGCAGCCCCTCTACTGCGGCGCCTTTTACGAGCCGGCCGGCCTGCGCAACGACACGGCCTGGTGCGGCTTCCTCTTCCTCGGCCTCGCGCGCGCAAACTACCAGCACCACGCGCAGCGCGGCACCGAGCCGTGCTGCGACCTGCTGCTCGTCGGCGGGGTGCAGGTGAAGCCCGACGTGGTCAACGTCTCCGAGGACTCCTCCTCCTCCGACGAGAGCGCCGAGGAGGAGCCCGAGTGGGGGAACGCTGTCGGGCGAGGCCGCGGCCGCAACCGTCCGGCTGGCCGCGGGGCGGCGCCGCACCGCTCGCTGTCCGCCAAGGCCAAGCCGCGCCAGCAAAGCCGGCCCGCGGCCGCGCACCCGCAGCGGCCGGCGCCGCGGCCCGCAGAGCCGGCGCGCCCCGCCCCGCAGCGAGCTCCGCACACGTCGCGGCCCGTCTCGGCGGCAGCACAGGCGGCGGCGCCGTCGGCCTCTGCGCCAGCGAGCGGCTCCGCCGCCGTCCGCGCGGCCGATCGGCGGCCGCGCGGGGCCGAGGAGTTCTCCAAGCCGCGGGGCGCCGCGCCCGAGTCGCACCGCAAGAAGAAGAAGAAGCGGTGGGGGCGGCCCGACTCGAGTTGCAGCGAGGAGGAGGAGGAGGAGGAGTCGGACGAGCAGATCGCCATGGCCCCCAAGCCGCGGGGCAGCGAGCTCCAAGGCAAACGGGTGCGCGTGATGTGGGACGGGTCCACGGGCGACATGGAGACGACGTCGCCCGTGCCCGTGTGGTATTGCGGCCGCGTCAAGTCGTACTCGACCTCGCGCAAGCACACCATCGCGTACGACGACGGCACCTTCGAAAACCACGACCTCGACAACTACGACGAGGAGGTGTGGGAGCTCGAAAATTCGTGGAAGGCGCGGAAGCGGATCGTCGAGAAGCAGCGCCGCGAGCGCGAGCGGCGCGCCACCGAGGGCACCGCTGCCGCCGCGACCGCCAAGAAGGGCCGACTGAAGCGCGCAGACGGCTCCACCGTCAACTCCGAGGCGGCTAGCTCCGCCCCAACCTCTGCGCTGAGCGGCGGCGCCGCCGGTCCGCCCTCCACGGTGCCCCGCCCTCCGCCGGCGGAGGCGGCGCCAAAGCCCGCGGCGCCAAAGCCCACGGCGCCAAAGCCGGCGGCGCCAAAGCCGGCGGAGCCAACGCCGGCGGAGCCAAAGCCCGCGGCGCCAAAGCCCGCGGCGCCAAAGCCCGCGGCGCCAAAGCCCGCGGCGCCAAAGCCGGCGGAGCCAACGCCGGCGGAGCCAAAGCCCGCGGCGCCAACGCCGGCGGCGCCAACGCCGGCGGGCAGCAGCTCAAGCGCAGCGCCCTCCTTCTCGCGGCCAGCCACAGCGGCAGCCGGGCCGAGCAGCGATCGCTCCTCGCGGGCGGCCGACGCTTCTCGAGACTCCAGCGCCAGCGCCGAGGCCTCGGGTGCGTCCGACGGCGAGGAGAAGTACGTGCCCGAGAGGATTGTCCACTGGCGCTACCCGAGCCGGTGGCGCTGCCCACAGCAGAACCGCTACTTTCACAGCGAGGAGGACTGGCTCGCCTACCGCGCCGAGAAAAGCCTGAGCGGCTCGGACGTCGAGCGGGTGAGCGAGCCGGACGAGCTGCACTACCTGGTGCGGTGGGAGGGCTACTCGTCAGGCGAGGACACCTTCGAGCCGCTCTCGAACCTGGAGGGGAACATCGTCTTCCAGAAGTGGCGCGAGGCGCGGGCTGGCCGCACGGCAGCCGCCATCGGGTCGCCGGCGTGGCGCCAGCCGTGGAACCAGCGCAAGCAGTGGACGGGCAGCTGGGCGGGGCTGGCACGAAGCGTGCACGAGAACGAGCCGATGTACCGCGTGCATTGGGACGGCTCGCCGCTGCGCGACGCATCGCCCAAGGAGGCGGCGGCGGAGGCGGCGGCGGACCCGCCCTTCAAGTGCAGCCACTGCGGCAAGGGCAAGCCCGGCAAGAATGACCTGTGCCGCAGCGAGTCCTATGAGCCCGCCTCATACGTGCAGACGCTGCCGATCTTCCAGGACTGGAAGACTCGCCGGGACGCCCGCCTCGCACAGAAGAAACGGCAGAGGCGATCGGCGGCCGTCGCCCCTGACGCCGCGGCCGCCGCCGCCGCTCCCGCCTCCGCGCCTGCCATTGCACCTCCTTCTGCCGCCGCTGCTGCTCCTGCAGCCGCTGCTGCCCCCGCCGCCGTGCCACTGTCCGCAGCGCTTCCTGCCGTCGCGCCTCCCGCCGCTGCTGCGCCTCCCGCCGCCGCTGCTGCACCTCTCGCCGCTGCTGCACCTCCCGCCGCTGCTTCTCCTCCCGCCGCTGCTGCAGCACCTCCCGCCGCCGCGCCCGAGCCGGCCGCTGGCGCCCGGCCGCCCGCACCGTCGCGTGGCGACGGAGCAGACAGCGACAGCTCAGAGGACGAGGCGCCGCTGTCGAAGCGCAGGGCGACACTGGGGGTGCGGCGCCCGAAGCAGGCGGAGAAGGGAGGGCCGGGGGGCGGTGGAGCCGCCTCGGCCATTGCGCCGCCGCGGTTGGATCCGGGCGCAGCGCCGTCGGTCGCGTCCCTCGTGGAGGAGGACGGGGCGGCCGCCCTCCCGGCGGCAGACAGCGCTTCGCAGGACTCGTGGCCGGACGACTCGTCGGAGGATGGCGAGGCGGGCCAGCCAGCCGACGGCGGGGAGGTGGAGAGGGAGGCGGAGAGGGAGGCGGAGGTGGAGGCGGAGGTGGAGGCCGAGCAGCTCTCCTCCGACGACACGCCATCGCCACCGCCGGCGACGGGCGGAAGCTCGCCGCGCGCTCCTCCGCCCGTCCAGTCGTCGGCCATGCCGCCGATGCGGACGGCGCCGCCAGGCTCCACCCTTACGCACGCGCTGGCGGCGGCGCTCCATCGGCCCCCGGCGGAGGCGGCGCCGAAGCGGGCCGCTGAGGAGAGCCCCGAGGGCGGCGCTCCAGATCACAAGCGGCCGTGTGGCAGCGAGCGATCGTCAGCAACG